GTACATCAAATAAATGTCAATCTCGACCAATGGACATGGTGTACATATGAATAACTGAATGAATAAATATGAAAACAACCAGATTTGCACATATACAATTATCCCATATATAATTCCAATTAAACCATTAACGGTTTGGAATGATCCATTAATTCTATAATTAAATAACCAATATATCATTGAACCCTTTACATATGTATATATATCCTAAATTCAATGAAGGAAATACAAATATCTCCACAATCGGCACGGCACACGTAACATGTTTATCCATTAAAACAAATTATAAAATAAATGGAATAACCAATCAAACGCCGCACATATATATTTCATTACAGTGCATTGGTTATACCTTTTCCACTGAATCATTGCGTCAAGCAATTCAAACATAATAAAATGCTCATAACCCAAGCAATTTCTTTTGAAAGAATAAGAAGCAAAAAAAAACGTATTCTCAAGACAATAGTGATTTCTGTATTACAGTCAAATAAATCTGATGCAAACATCTCGATATCATGTCAATCCGTCAAGATTAAATATATAAACAAACACACACCCAGATGTAAATGAACAAACAGACCGTGTATGTATTAATTGCAAACAAATAGCAGTACGCAATGTATATCATATCGGTTATGATAAATCGGCCACAAAAAAAATCCAGGCAAATTTAATTTGATCTGATTCCCAAAAATTATTTATAAATCCAAGAATAAGTGGATAAATAAATAAAATTAAAGTAAATTAAACACACGCAACTAATGTATTTAACACATAATCAAACATACATACAGATGTGTACGGATTGGGTTACATGCAATTTATATTGCAATATAGAGACACGACTACGTAATCATGTACCAGAACATATTTATTCAAATCATCGCATATGTTCCGCGAATGGGCAAATTGCTTTCAATTAGCAAATTCTAACATATAATTATAGGAAATTGATTTCCATTAAACATATGGTTCTTATAGACTATCTCATAATTCAACACGGAAAGACTCTGATACCAATTGTTGGAACTTGTCAGGAATTTAACCCTAAGCCCGGGATCTACCGTGTTATCATAATTGAGATAAAAATAAAGCAAAATAAATCTAACCTTATTCCATTAGCATAGTCGAATTCGGATCTGCTAACAATTGAGGGTTTTGTGTTCTTTAAGCATATGGCGCAACCCCTCCTGAGAAAACCGCTAGGGTTTCTGCCGTTACTCCCACGATGAGATATGGAACGTAATGGTTGTTGCGTCTAGACCTGGGATCACAACCCTATTTATATCTCTTATTATTAATTGGCCGCATCACCAAATTAATAATTTACCGGGTTTATGCACATTGGAGGCCCGCACTTACTAAATACATTTAAGCCCAATAAATTTATAGATCACTTAATATAGGCTTAATTTGACTGATAGCTCAAATAGTTACATTTAACCCACTAATGGATTTTTAATCCAACATAACATACTTGATTTGATACAATAATGAGTACAATTCTTTAAAAATAATGAAAATACTTAAATCGCAATAGAAAATATTTTTGAAGAATATTGGTCTCGACCAACTAAAATTTACGTAAGACAAAATATATTTATTTCAAACACCTTATAAAAGTACTGATTGCTTAACAATAAAGTATTAAAAATAATTTGAAAAGTACTAACTTTATTTTAAAAAGTATGTTTTTTTCTCATACGAAAAATACAAACGCCTAAAATGCCCTTTCGAGTTGATGTAATTTACCATTTTTATAGTATGTCTTTCGACACAGTTCTTGTAATTTTATTTGCGTGTATTTTTTATGTGTATTTTTTATATAAGCTTACAAATTTTTATTCATCTATTAGGGTTTATAGTACACAAAATATAATAATCAAGTTAACACTAATATTTTTTAAGTAAAACTATGTGTGATGATCAATTTTGAAATTATCGTTCGACAATAAATCATTTGATTCGATACAATGCTGATAAATTTTTTTAAAAAATAAAGACAATACTTAAATCATAATGTAATATTTATAAAAAAATATTTGTTTCGACCGACTAACGTTTGTATAAGACAAAAAATAGGTATATCAAATATTCTATAGAAATTAAATAACAAATAGGAAGTAATTAGAGATGAGCAATGAGTAGTTAGAATATAATTGTATATAGGGACTGAATGAGAAAGTATATTGAAAAAATAGATAAATAAATATCGCACATGCAAAATTATTTAAAAATAGAAAAAATTATAAAATCTACATTAAATTTATCAATATTATTCAAGAAACACGATAAATAAATAAATAAATATTGTACATATAAATTTGTTATAAATATGTGTTGTAAAATTTTGGTCAATGAAATTTTTATGGAGACCGTTATTGGATCCAAACATAAACACAAACACACATATATTTTGTGGTCCAATAAAACCTGGCCCTAACCCATAATCCGTAACCCAACCCTTTGATCCGGTTCTATGACCCATTGACCCGCATCTATTTTTTAGACTTGTTGTGGACCGTTTGATCAAAGGTTTTAAGAGGTTTTTGAGAAAGAGCTTTTTGAAAAGCTTTTAGCTTATTAAACAAATTTTAGCTGTTTGACCAGTCAGAAAACTAATTTACGTGTTTGCTAAATTAGCTTTTTGAAAGAGCTTTTTGGACAAAAAAAACTAATTTCTAAAAAGCTAATATACCCAGCGTTTTGAAAAAACTTTTTCACTTTAATTTTGTTTATCTCTTATTTACCCTTGAAAATTAATTAAATATTTTATACATATAAATATATTTTTATTACAATATTTATTAATTATTTATTAATATATTTAATTTATTAAATTATAATTTTATTTTTGTAAATTTAAAATAATAATTATTATTAATTATTACTAATAAATTATTTTATTTTTAAAATATATAAATTTATTAAAATTATATCAAATATAAAAAACAAATATTATTAATTTATTTATATATTTTTTATTATATAAATTTTATATTAAAAGTTAATAAGCAATAATTAACCTAACAAAAATATATATATACGAAAGATTTATTATTTTATGTTTTACACGATTTCAATAAAAAATTATTAATTTTTTTTAATAAAAATATTTTTCTCAAATCTAATATATAAAAATAAATATATTATAACATTTATATAATTTTCAATAATTAATAATAAAAATTATCATAAATTTTCAATTGAAATGAACAAAATTAAATATTTTAAAATATAACATATCAATCTCCATACTTATCATTACGTATAAACAACTAATGTCAAATTGTTGTTTTACCAAACACTTTAATACAAACAATTAATTGAATCAGCTAGTCAAACCAGCTAACTGAATCAGCTAACCGCTAACAGCTAATTGAATCAACTAACAGCTAAAAGCTATCAACTAATTGTCAAACGCACCGTTAACCCTGATCGATGATCTTTCATAACATACATATATATACAAGTAGAGAGAGGGAGCCGCCTAACACTCTCACTCCCACACTCTCTCTCTAGACTCTCTCTACACATTTTTTTCTCTGGGCGATTACAGATTCTTCTCCGGCGACTTCCGACGAGCTTCTTTCTTCTATTTTTTGTGGAGATTAGAGGTACTTTCAGTTCCCTTTGTCTCGGTTCGAACTGCAAGGGGTTCGACATCGAGTTTAGCCTTCGGTTTGTGTGGGTTCTTTCTCTTTGGCCGCTTTTCTACCGTTGCTTTGTTTTTCCTTATATGTGGGGATTGTTTTTGGTCTAGGTTGAGGGTCTCGGGCAGTTTGGTTGTGTATGTCGCGTTGTATGTGTGTTCGTGTCGATTTTGTGTTTTGGTGGGTGATTTGGGGGCTGAGTCTAAAACCAAATCATAGTTCAAACTTTGTTTATTATTTTCGTTGATTTTTCTTTTAATAAAATCTAGTTAGTTTCAGCGTTTATTACATTACAATATGTATAAAGTTTTTTTTAATATTTTATAAAACTAACAATAAATTATCCAACAAATATAAAATTATATTTTAGATTAAAAAAATAAACAAAAGAAAAAAGAGAGAGAGGAAGAAAATTATTATAAATTATACATTCATTTGAGATTAAAATGGATTTTTATAGGTTTAAATAAATTGTTTATGAATTTATATAGATTTTATAGTATTGTAAAATAATTTTTTATTAATTTATATAAATTTTATTGGAAACACATTTGTAAATAAAAAATATTTAAATAATTAAATAAAAATATAAAAATGTAATATAGTTAAACAAAAATATTAAATTATTCATTATTTTTTATGTTCATTCTCCTATCTTCATTTCTATCATCATTATATATTATATATAATTAATGATTTATAATTATTATAGCATAATGCTATTTTCACATATTAATATTTTTAATTTTATTACAATATATTAATTTATTTTAATTGATTAGAATTTTAGCATAATTTTATTATGTATATATATTATTACTTTAATTTATTTCAAATCTTCTCATATATTTTTCAATTAAATTTATTTAGATATTTTTTATGCAAAAAATAAAAATTAATTTAAAATTTCAATTAAAAAATATATATTTTAAAAAAATTGCTAATAATTTACTATTATGTTTTAATTTTTAAAATTATTATTATTTTGTTAAGATATCATAATTATTATTATCATAATATTTATCACTTACAATAATAATATATTTTAAAAATACATCAAAAATTTTGCTTTATCATTTTCTTTTAAAATTCAATAAAATTTAGAGTTTTTAAAATTTATAAATTATTAAATTAAACAAAATTTTAAAAGAATAATACACTCCCACTCCAACTTTTTAAAATCGAATAGAATTCTACAAAATTTTAATTGAATACAAAAACAACAAAAAATAAAATGTATTGAAAAATAAAAAAATTTAAAAAGTTCTTACTCCTTACTTAAAAAAAAAAAAAAAAAAAAAAAAGCCCCTATTATGATGTTAGGGTGTCCGTTTATTCGAGTTTAATCAAAGAGCGCTCCTCGTCACGAATCAAACTACAAATCGGTCACGACCAAAACCCTGATTCTTGTTCCACATCACATCTACTCTACACTAGAGAACAGGAGAGCAGAGAGATCGAATTTGAGGTTTCTGTATTGATTGAGAAGGATTCAGACCCCCTCCCCTCATCGTGAATGTTGAATTAACTTTTCTGGCAGCTCCGAAGCCGGATTAAACTGAAATGGTGAGTGCCGCAGTTGCCGCTCTTCGTAAAACAGCATCCTCTGTGGGGCGCTACGCAAAATTGCTTACATTTAGGTTCCTTATGAATATGTATATGCGGTGAAATATTAGACAATTTGTTTACTCAGAAAAATGCGATTACTGTGCAGTTTCGCCGGTGTTTAATCTTCAATTTTGTTGGTTTTTCCTCTGCCTATTGCAGAATTTTCGAGTTTCTCTATAACTACTTTTTCTTGATGAGTTATATGATCCTGACGATCACATTTAGTGGATTATATGGATTCCTGTCTACAGTTGAGAACTCTCTCTGGGTAAGAGAAGAAATAGGTCTGGCACGCATGCCTGTTTAAAATTTTGTAGACTTATTAGTTGTTCCATATGAACTTAATTGTTTTTTCTCAACGAGAAGTTGGTTGGGGACCCCTCCCATAATCCTTAGGGGGGGTTCATGAAATGGAAATGTCCTTCCAGTCAAGTGGATGGTGGTGATTTGTGGTTCTATTTCAAATTTGATTCTGTTTGTGGAGCAGCTTGTTTTCTGCGTATTTTCATATTTGAAATTACCAACATATAATCTGCTTTCTTGAAATCACAGGGTTGAATTGTGCCACTGTTAACTCTGGTCAAGGAGTGGTTTTCATTTTCAAAGAATTTAGGCATTATATGTTTGCTTGTTTGATGTTTCTTTCTCCTAAACCTTTCTGTTTGTATGCTCTATCATTATTCACTGGACTGTAGGGTTCTTTGAAAGTAAATATGGATATGAATAGCATGTTATATTTGTATTGAGAACCAACTGCAAACTTCCATATGGGAAACCCTTGCTCCCTATTTAGAGTTATATTTGCCAATTTAGGATTGATTCTGCATTCCTGTAGGTTCTGTGATGACTGCTTTCATATTGGATCATCACTCATCAAGCTGTTAAATAGTGGTATTTTGCTTTTGTTAGAATTTGTGGGAAAATTATGAAATTATATTGTGTAAAAAATAAGAGTTTACAAAATACATATAGTAGTGGACTCGAACCTAAACTTACAAAATAATATCAAGGAAATATCTAAATCTAACATAATAATATCAAAGAAATATCTAAATTTAATATCCCCTCAAACTCAAAATGGGGCAGTACAAACCAAATTGAGTTTGTCCGAGAGTAATCGGAATCGGAAACGACCTGGAAGAAGAAACTTGGTAAAGATATCTGTTGTCTGATCTGCAGAGGATATAGGAACGAGATGAACTCCCCCATTGACAACATGTTGTCGAATGAAGTGTCGATCAAACTCAGCATGCTTGGTGCGCTCGTGGAAGGTATCATTATGGACAATCTTCATAGCACTCTGACTATTGTAGTGAAGAGCCGTAGAAGGTGGCTGAGGAGCACCAAGATCAGTGAGTAGTCGACGAAGCCATAAAAGTTATGAAGTAGAGTCAGCAAGAGCACAATACTCTGACTCGACACTCGTGCGAGAAACCAAATTTTGCTTCTTGCTACGCCAAGAGATGAGAGAATCACTCGGAAAGAAGCAGAAACCAGTGGTTGAACGACGATTGGTGGGATCACCAGCCCATTTAGCATCAGAGTAACCGCTGAGAGTCAAAGATAAGTGAGAGGAGAAGTGTAAGCCAGGTAGAAAATTACCTTTCACATAACGAAGAATACGTAAGACGATAGAGTGGTGAGAGGTCCTTGGAGCGGCCATGAAATGACTTATATTATGGACTGCATGAGCGATATCTGGTCGAGTGAAAATCAAATAGATTAAGCTCCCAACAAATTCACGATAGAGGGTAGGGTCATAAAGAAGAAAACCATCTTGAGGAGTAAGTCGAACGTCGTAGGCAAGTGGTGTAAAGGCTACCTGACAGTCTGTGAGACCAGCTCGAGCAAGAAGATCGGAGACATACTTAGCCTGAGACAGAAAGAAACCATCGGGAGAATAAGAGACTTCAAGCCCCAAGAAGTAACGAGGGGACCCAAACTCTTCTTCTTAAACTGCTGGCTAAGATATGCCCGTAGATCAGAAATACCAGACGCATCATCTCCCGTGATGATCATATCATCAACATAAATTAAGAGTATAACTATCCCAGATGAAAAATGATAAAATAATAAGCCAGAGTCGTAAGCGCACGTGGTAAAATCAAACTCCAATTGTACAACACTAATGTAGCATACCAAGCCCAAAGGGCCTGCTTCAACCCATATAAAGCATGACGTAAACGAAAAATCTTTCTTCAGAAAGTGTACCATGTAAGAATGCATTCTTGACATTTAACTGAAGAATGGACCACTGATGAACAACAACAACGGCAAGAAGACAATGAATAGTAGTAAGACGAGCAACGGGAGCAAAAGTCTCCTCATAGTCAACTCTATACTCCTGGGAATAACCTTTGGCCACCAGACGAGCCTTGTAGCGCTCAATAGAACCATCAGAATTAGTCTTGATTTTGAAAACCCACTTGCACTCAATAGATGTCTTGCCGAAAGGCAAATCCATTAAATCTCAAGTGTGAGTCTTTGCCAGAGCCTCCAATTCCTTAGTCATAGCTTATTGCCATAAATAAGCACTCGCCTCACGAAATGACCTAGACTTATGATGAGATAATATGGTAGAGTAACAATGATAATCACGCAAGTGAACAAGAGGGTCACTTACTCGATATGATCGACGAGGTTTAACAGGTCCAGAGACTGCAGACGGATCAACATCAGGAGATAAGGTCGGAGGTGGATCAGAAACCTCAATGGGAGGTGGATCAGAAGGTCTCAACTGGAACAGGATCCGAAGACGGTGATGGAGCTGTATTATTAGGATCAGGAAATAAGGGAGAACATGCCGACAGAAAGGAAGGTGAACCATAAATAGATGGGAGATGAAATTTAGACAGGGTGGAAAACATACACTCTCCCAAAAGGTAACATAACGAAATATACGCAACCGTCTAGAAACCAGATCCCAAAGCCTATAACTTTTATGCTCTACTTCATAACCAAGAAGACAACATTAACGCGCACGAGGTCCAATTTAGAACGTTCATGCGGAGGGATAATGGCAAAACCGACACAACCAAAGGGAAGAAGGGTACTATAATCGGGTGGCTGACTATATAGAGGCTCGAAAGGGGTGCTATTATGGAGGACAGATGATTGAATACGATTTATGGTATAGACAGCAGTGATGGTGGCTTCCCCCAGAACCTATCAGGACCAGAGGCCGACAAAAAGGACGCACAAACAGTATCTAGAATTTGACGATGTTTGCCCTCAGCCAGACCATTCTGTTGAGAGGTGTACGGACAAGAACCCTGAATCAATGTACCTTGAGCAAATACAAAACTTAATAAGGTAGAATCTCTATACTCAATACTATTATTAGTACGTAGGGTCTGTATGAGACAGAAAAATTGAGTTCAAATCATTTGAGCAAATTCAATGTATGTTTAAGGTAAGTCTGAACAGTGTTTCAAAAAATATATCCATGTAAAACGGGAATAATCATCTATGTAAATGACATAATAACGACACTCACTTATCGAGGGAACATGGAAAGGATCCCAAATATCATAATGAATTAAGGAAAACGGTTTACTTGCGACTGACATATTTTTTGAAAAAGATAAGGTTGTTTGTTTTCCCAAATGACATTGTAAGCAATTAAATGACTCAAAACGAGTAGAATCCAAATAATCTTTACTAATGAGAGACTGAATTTTAGAGAAAGATGCATATCCAAGACGAATGTACCATTGAAGACTAGGGGAAATAAAAGTAGTAAGAGGGATATGAGTAGTAGCAACAAAGAATTATTGGGAGGAATTTTTAAAGATTATATCTCAAATAGTTGACTCACTTTTCGGTCTATCCGAAGAATTTGACCCGTACGTGGATCCTGAACCTGTACACCAGAAGAAGAAAAAGAAACAATAAGTCCTAGCTGAACTAGTTGGTCAATTGATAAAAGATTTAAAGTCAATTGAGGAATACAATTGTTATGTATGAAATTTAGAATTAGGTTAAAAAGCCCAAGGTAAAAGAAAAATGGGCCTGACATTAGAGTTGGTTGAACTGGTTCAAGGAAAATAGGTTTATTTCTAAGGACGGAAAGACCTCAGGTCGGAAGGTCTTCAGGTCGGTAGGTCCTCAAGACGGAAAGTCCTCAGGACGGAAGGACCTCAGGTCGGTAGGTCCTCAGGACGGAAAGACCTCAGGTCGGAAGGTCTTCAGGTCGGGAGGTCCTCAAGACGGAAAGTCCTCAGGACGGAAGGACCTTAGGTCGGTAGGTCCTCAAGACGGAAAGACCTCAGTTCGGAAGGTCTTCAGGTCGGGAGGTCCTCAAGACGGAAGGTCATCAGGACGGGAAGTCCGCAGGTCGGGAGGCCCTCAGGACGGGAAGTCCGCAGGTCGGGAGGCCCTCAAGACGGGAGGTCATCAGGACGGGAAGTCCGCAGGTCGGGAGGCCCTCAGGACGGGAAGTCCGCAGGTCGGGAGGCCCTCAAGACGGAAAGTCATCAGGACGGGAAGTCCGCAGGTCGGGAGGCCCTCAGGACGGGAAGTCCGCAGGTCGGGAAGTTCTCAGGTCGGGACTCTGCGGCAGGGCCAACAAATCGGATGGTTTGTTAGTCGGGATGTCTGTAGCTAATCCAAACAAGTCAGATGGTTTGCAAGTCGGGAGGATTGGCAGCTGGACCAATACGGTCGTAGATTGGCGGTCGGGCCTAAAGGGCGGAAGGTATGTGGTCGGCTCAAAGAGTGAAATATAGGGATAATTTTGGTCTGCTGAGGACACGTGTCAGCATGAGAAGGGTTGGACGACGGTTGGGAAGGAGACGTTGTAACCGTTCGGGTGACGGTTTTCAGTACGGTTTCCCAGAGAATATTTAAAGGTTTGGATAATCATTTGGCAGGGTGTCTTCAATCAACTTCAACAAAGCAAAGTCAGATTTGGGGATCACCACTTTAAATTTCAGTCTTTTATTTTCCAGTTTATTTTC